AATTTCGTATTCAGATGGCGGAAAAAGGTTTTGGAAACGCGAAACGGTGGAGAGAAGAACTGAAAAAATTTAATTTAGTATGTGTTACTAGTAAAAATATTGTATGGAGGAAAAATCTGTCGCGTACGTTATTATAATTTTTTGTAATAAAACCTAACCAGAGATAATTTCTATTAAAAAATGGAAGGATTGTAAAGGTACATTATTTAGCTTAGTTTAGGAATTTTTAAAGAACAGAAAAACTCTCATGATTCGCAGACTTTCGCATATATGTATATGTGCCTTAAAACCACTTCTTTTTTTGTCGCGTACGTTATCACCTGGTTTTGAACGGATATTTTCCACACCAAAGTTTCGAGGCTGCTTATTTTTTTCTCCAACATAGTACCCTTTGGTTGCAACATAACCGTAATCTTTTTTTTCAGTAACTTCTATTTTTGATAGATTTACGTCACTCTATAAGCGTACGAATGTCGCGTACGGCTGTATGGAAACACCCATATGCCTTTCCGAAAAACTTTTTCAAGCGAATATCGAGGTAGCAAAAGGTATGTTGCAGTTATTTGTCACAGATTTTTGTAAATTTTATGGTCAACATAGCATTTCATATAAAGTTCACGGACTTCTTCATTTAGTTATAATTTTGAAAATTTTTTGCATATTTTAAAGAAAAAAGTTAAGAAACCACAACATATTCTTATGCAGCTAAATAACAAACTGAACGATATTCCAATTAAGAGGAGGTTTGAGGAAACAAATTTTTTGATAGATAAAGATTTAATATCACTTAAGTTTAATGAGATATATTTTTCAAAAAAATCTCCTAATAATATCTGTTGCGTAAATGGTCATCCATGTAAAATAATTGCTCTTGGAATAAAGAATAGAAAGCATTACGTGGTCATTAAACGTTTTTTAAACATTTCACCAGTTTTTTCATATCCCATTATTTCTTCCCAAATAGGAATAGTACAAGTTAAGGAACTGGCTGAAGAAGAAGAAGTTGCTTCAATAGACACACATATTAGAAAATATTTCCCAATAATTAATTCAGACGACACATATATTTTAATTCCGATTATCCACCCAATCACAAATTAAACATTTTCCAGTTTATTGGAACTATTGAGCCGTAAATAACAATTTTTATCATCATGGATAGGCCATTTGGTAAGATTGGCAAGAAAAACAAAAAATTATTTGAAGTCTGTTAAAAATTAACAAAATTTTTATATATTTTTTCTTTAATTTTAGTTTACAACGTACCATTTCATTTAAGTCCACCTATCGCCTAACCATTCTCCGCCTAATTCTCTGCCTTGAACTACTGTTAGCTTCCCGTCAGATTCTATTCTTAGTTTCATTGAAGCATTTAGTACACTATCCTCATCTGAATTTTTAATAATATTTGTCTTATTTTTAGATCTTAAAGCAATGGTGGGTTTGTTGAAAATTTCAGTTGAGCAGCAAACAGAGGTTATCAACCAACAAAATGTTAAGCTATTTCCATCCACTACCACATACAACATTCCTTTGCAATCCATAAACGATTTGCATCATATTGAACGACAAATCAATGAAATTAATTTTGAAAGGAGCATTGTAAGTAAAATTAATTTTTAGTTTTGGAAAAATATATATGTATGCATGTATGTATAAAATGTTCATTTTTGTTCATAATAGAAAATATTCCTTAAAACGTCTATACCAGGGTTGTTGCGAATATACGCATTCGCATTCGCAACAGCGGAGCTTCCGCATTAATTTTAACATTCGCATTCGCTTTCGCATTCGCAAAAATCAATGCGGATCTTGTGCGAATATTGTAGGGACCGGAAATAACAGTTATTTTTTACAAGTTAAACTTGGCCAAATATTTGTTATTCCGAAATAAAAGTATTTTCCGGATAATAAACAAACCGCTTATCCAAATTAAACAAGTTTGGTATCAAATGAAAGAGGACTTAAATAGCTTTAAAACTGAAATGTCTAAACGAGGAAAGCCACATATTGAAAAATATTTCAATAAAAAATTTTAATTAATTACCATAGAGCAAAAGTTGGGTCAGGTATGTATTCGAATTTAAAATTTTAAAAAAATATATATAAATAGCGGTGGTAACCTTCGTTCGTTATTTCTGTATAAAAGCTATCTAGGCCTTCTTTCATATGATACCAAATTAGTTTAATTTGGATAAGCAGTTTGTTTATTATCCGCAACAAAAAATATTAGGCAAGTTTAAAGGCTCAGTTATGCATTCTTTGCATTGCATGAGAGTTGTCACATAAGGAATATGTTAAATGAGCTTTGCGTGTAAGCGGTTACCTAACTCACAGCATTACATATGTAAAAGTCTGTTGATTTTTGATTTTTACGTAAAATTTCATGCAGTGCAGTGCAGTGAAAAATATGCATAACTGAGCCTTAACTCGTAAAAAATAACTGTTATTTTCGGTCCCTGGAATATTGTGCAAGTGCACTGATAAAACGTATATCTAACCAGTCACAGAATAAAGCATTAAAAATGAATTAAAAAAACTAAGATCGAAAAACGTTGATGGTGTTACAGGTTGTCCAAATTCCGAAACAACCAAAAGAATGAGAATGGAGAACTCTTTCGAAAACAACGGTGTTTAAACAACGATCGTGCCATGATGCTAGATTGTGAATAGGAAAGTCAGGAGGATACATCCGACATTTGCAGCGCCGATGCATTTCTCAGAACGGAATTATTGCACCGCAATAAAAATAAATAAAAAAATCCTGGCGACTGAACTGAGGGAATGGTAAATTATTTTAAACTCTCGATAAATATGCGTTTCAGAGAATCTGGTTATTTCAGTTTTCTGTTACGGGTTACAGAAGGGCGAGAACTCTCCCCAAACTCAAAAATTAAAGCCCTTATTATGAGTTGCATTCGATTTTCGATCTGCGCTGGGTATCGGAGATCGGAAGTGAAATTTGTATTATGAGCTTGCAAGCGTGTCGAGATTTTCGTTGAGTATCGAATTTTCTGTCGAACAGAATTTTGCTTTCGTTGGTGTAGCGAAGTGCTAGAAAATTGTGAAAAATTTATGATTTTGCATTTGTTTTCTTACTTTTTGGCGGCTAGACACTAATTTGGAACATTTTTTATTAATTTGATGTCGTTGTAACGTCGTGATTACTAAACAAAGCTCGAAAGGCTGGTTTTACTTGTGAAAGAAAATCCCATTACTCTGTCAAAATATCTGTCTGTATGTCAAAATATATTCGAAAGACTACACTTAAACTCTCTTATACGTTTTCTGCTCCTGGCAAGTTTTCTAAGTTCTCATCCTCTGACGAATGGTTCAATCAGAACTCCGCTGTACTCACTTTTACCACGTTTTTATTAACTCGCTTTCTTTTTTATTTCGTTTTTATTTGCACAAATTTACATAAATATGTATAAGCACACTATTTAGTTGCAAAGCTTCTCGGCGGTGAAAAATATCCTATTGTGAACAGCCTAAACGAGTGAAATTCACAATAGTGCTATTCTTCACCGAATGAGTGCCATAATACCAAATGAAAATTCGTTCGATCAGCACTTTCGACTAGAGATGGGCACGGGCGGGGCTTTTGGAAGGGGCCCGACGGGCCCCTGCATAAGCCCGCGGGTACGGGCCGGAATATTTGCTGTTAGCACGAACTCGTGCGTGCCTGGGCGCTCAGTAAAATTTCATAAAAGCACGAATAAGCACGAAAAAGCCCGTTGCTAATACTAAAAATTTAGATGAGCTTTTGTTTTTATACAAAAAAAATAGTACATATTTAAAACTCTTTTGATAAGAGAAAGGCAAAAAAGGAAATATTTGGAAACCGATAGAGAAAATATGATACTTAGCAATTTTGTTTACATACATATCTGTACATAAAATATCTTCCACTTTTTCTACTTCCCAGAAAATATATTATAAAAATCTTTGATGTAAAATATTGATTCGATTAAGTAAATATCCATATGGACATAAACACAAAATTAAAAATATGTACATACTAGCTTATACCCGCGGGTTTAACCCCGCGCTTTTATACAAATAGGAAAAATAATTTAATGATGTTAGATTTTATTTCTGTGCCCATTTCGTTATAGCTCGTTATTTTCTAAGCGAGTTAAGGTATTTAGGCCGTTTAAAACTATGAAATTATAAAATCTCCTCTCTCTAAGTTTACCTTAAAAGGTTTCCAGGTATACGACGCGTGAACGTGAAACCTTCTTGGAGGTGCCACGGCGAGTTCTAATATTTCCAACTCAAATTTAGTAACCTGGCCATGATAAAATACCACTTCTCATTACTGTAGCAAATGCCTCAAGAGAGCTTTAGATCATAAGGTCGAACCCGGCTCTCCCTTTTCCATTTAATGAAATTTATTCTGTCTTCCACAAACACTTCCAGGAATATGTGGCAAGAAAAAGTCAATTTGTACAGGAAGTGCCACGCCCATTTTTCTTATAACCCTAATCTTCTTCCATGAATTTAGAATTGATTTTACATACCCCAGTACCAAGTCCCAGTACTCTACCATGAACATCTCTGGAGATATGCAGTATAAAACAGTAAATTTGTACGGGAGGTACCATGTCCCCTTTTCGAATAACACAAATTCTTCTCTATGAGTATGGAATTAATTTTGTATACACATCTCGGTGCCAAGTTCCAGTCCTCTGCAATAAACACCTCCAGAGATATGCAGCATAGAAAAATCAATTTGCATGGGAGTTGCCACACCACCTTTTCCAATAACTCTCATTAGTATGGTATTAGTTTGACATACATACATGCATACTAGGGATGCCAATATTAACGGAAAATTGTGATCCCGGGATTTCGGGATATTTTTTAAGTAATCCCGGGATCCCGAGATTTATCCCGGGATTTACATTGAGACATAACTTTCATGAATATGAGTAAAAATTCAACAACAGAAAGCATTTAAACATGCCATGAAATAAAACCATTTAAAATTTACGATAAACTGATTTTAAAATCACATATTTATTAATACAGACAAATATTAAAGTAATAAATTTTTAAATTGTATTTAAAAACCATGTGATTTAGGAACGCATACATCACAAATAAGAATATAAATACCAGGTACTTTTGAATGTAACCGTTAATAAAACAACATTAAACAAAAAAAACAAGGAACATGCTCGTTGCAAGGAACATGCTCGGGCGACTCATCACGTTCATCTCGCTTAGGCACAATGTTTGAATTGTGTGTTTTTAAATGCGTGTGTAAGCCCTTAGTGGATCCACCTTTCGTTTGTAAGATTTTGTTGCACTTTTTGCATTTGACTACCTCACTTTTGTCTCTAGCAACCAAATAATGAGACCATACCGACTTGGCATCGTTTGCCTTTGTATCGTGTGGAACGAATGCTGTAAAAAACAATGAACTTAATTACTCAAATGTAATTTGGGTTTTACTTACACTGAACATTTGAGCAGCTGGTAGTTTCGCTCATTATTCCTTCTGATTTTAGCTTTGTACAAAATCTTTAATTGAATTTACGATACTAATAAGCAACGGTTCTTTGAAAACCAGCTGTTGCATATATTTTCAGCTGACAATGTGGCACACTCATAGTTTTTAGCAGGGCAAAAAGGGGAAATTTTACATTCGAATAACCGGCCATTTACACGATCAAGAGATTTCTTTCAAGTTGCAATTTTATATTACATTTACATTGGACCAAAATGCGTGATCTGAAATCAGTCATTTGAAGGTGTTTACACTGCTTGATCCGCATTTGCTTTGACCTCTCATCAAATGAAAAGGGAAGACAAAAACAAAATGTATGTAAACAAACACTACATTTATTATATTGTTAATGCTTTTTGGACACAAAAAGGCAATTATTTTTTGTTTAAACTAAAAATGTGTAAAGCTCTTGTATAAATTAACAATTTTTACACACAAATTTCAAAGATTTATTTATTTCGTTGTGTTTGTTTTGTGTTTGAAAAATTCCAAATGTCAAAGACAAACCAAAGCTTTTGTGGAACTTTTGTTTCTGAGTGCGTTCAATAAAATAGTACGGCAATTGGAACGCATTTGTTTCGTGATTTTGTGTAAATGCGTCGAAATGCGTCATTCTGGAAATGTGAATTTGTATGGAGAAATGCGTGATTTGGCCTCGCATTTGAGGTTTCTCGCCCAAATGACGCATTTGGGCTCAATGTAAATGTAATATTAAGTTGTTTCTTTGACGACAGCATCGTGAAACTGAAATTGACTATCAAGTTACGTGCAGCTACGTCGCAGCTGCCAATTGTAATGAATTTTAACCAGCAGTATGTGTGATCAACTTGAAAACAAATTCTTGATCCTATACCTGAACAGCAAAAGTCGATTAATTAACACTTTTGAACTAACTGTAAAAATATAAGTGCATATACGGTTAAACTCACAGCTTACTTATACACTAGTAAATGCTTTTTTAGCCTCATTTGTAAAAATTTGTGAAAAAGCTTTCTCCGTTCGACTGAATGAGTTGATTTAGTTGTAAATATTACCAAATGATGCAGTGTTCAATTCAAATCAATCTACGCCATATTATATAACTGAATTATAACACGTTTCTTGGAAATTGAAAAGTTTTTATTTTAATCAAATTTTGTAATAAACATGTTCTTACTTTCAATCCGATATTTAAAAATGTTCGGGATCCCGGGATTAATACAAACAAATCCCGGGATTTCCGGGACCTGAAAAACACCGGGATCCCGGGATTGGCATCCCTAATGCATACATATGTATTTCCATACCAAGCTTGAGTGCTTTACCCCAAACATTTGAAGAGATATGCAATATGAAACTTTCAGTCAGTATGGAAGGTGCTACGCCTCTTTTCCAAAAACGTCCATTTTTCTCCGTGAATATGAACATGATTTCACACAGTCTTGGCAAACTGTTAATCTGATTAACGATTAAAAATTAACGATTAAAATGTTAATCGCCTTTGACGATTAAAATTAATTAGTCGTAATCAACTGTACGATTAATGATAACATTTTTTTAATCGTTAATCGCTGGCTGCGATTACGTTTAATTAATTTAAAACATTAATCGTTAATCCAATTAAAAATAAAATCTGATTAATTTGTCTAGTTTGTCCGAGTTTGAAACCAAACACCAGTTATAGTAATTATTTTGTGTTTTACGCTTCCGAAATCCGTAGTAAGTGTACTAAATTCCGTTCTGAACGGAAAACCGGTTAAGGAAGTAGCCTATTTTTCAATCCAGGTCATAAACCATCTTTGAGCAAAATTTAATTTTCAAACAGGTGGCAATTCTTAAAAAAGTAGTCTATTTTCCAGTCTAGGTCATAAGCTATCTGTGTGCATACTTTCATGCAAATCAGTTCAGTCATTTCCACGTATTAATTTAATTAAAGTTTCCTAGTACGTGATAACTCTTAAAATAGTAGCCTATTTTCCAACATAGGTCATAAGCTATCTCTGTGCGAAATGTCATGCAAATCTGTTCAGTCGTTTCCGCGTATTAATTTCATTAAAACTTTTTTAACAGGTGGCAACTCTTCCAAAAAATTTGCCTATTTTCCACTGTAGATCATAAGCTATCTGCTTGCAAAATTTGATGCAAATC